TGTCCAGATAGGCTCGAAGGGCAGAGTGGGTGAGAAAAGAAAAGAAAAAGATGCAGTACTCTGTCTTGGACCATCACGACTTGATAACAGGACCTTACCGATAATACAAATCTCGCCACACGCCTTTTCGACGATTGTAAAAGACGATGTAATCTTAGCAGCGACATAGAAACATAGAAATTGATTTCGTGATCACATAGATGTTGTGGGAGTTCAGGATGCTAACACTAATCACTTTTCTCGGGTGATGAAAACACATCAAAATTTGAATCCTTCATACACGCCTTTGAATACACAACACACCAGTAATATCTTGAACTTGAGCACACGCATTTGATGCGAAAAATAAGAAATTCGGGCCATGTTCGAGGACAAAAAAGAAAGCACCACTGTAGTCTAAGTACACAAAGATCACGACACAAGCGTTTCTGTTGTCTTGAGGGTGTCGCCACAACATCTCCGCACGAGTAGATGGATCTTCCCTTCAAGGACGTGCTGGGTTATCACCGCGACACGCGACGAGAATTCAGTCAAAGATAGCGCTCTACGCGGAACGATGAGCTTCCACCATGCCAACCATGCATGTCCTTCAGCAGAGAGCTGGAGAATCACTAAACAGCGCAGGCGCAGTCTTATCTTTCTCTTCTTCGTTTACTACACGATATATGGCGCACAGCTCGGAGCATTATAAAATTTGGCAATTTCCTTCACATCGCTAATCACTCAAGAAATGTGGATCAGAATATTCTTCAACAAAGCTTTTAAGAAACACTTGCCGGCTTTTCACTAAAAATTCTATAGCGAAAATCTTTTTTTTTTTTTGGCTGTCTATTTTTTGTGTTTTGGTTTTCTTTTCAAACCTTTTATGACGTGTGGTGGATAAAATTCGATTTCAAAATTGTTTCATGCTCCCTTTAATTTCAAGTCGCACCGCAGTCCACGGAAGAATCCGGTTGAACCAATCAAGCAGCTTCAAAAATGCGTCGTCATGGCGCTCGTTTTTTTTGTGTGTTTCCTATCACCGGCCAAGCCAATCAAGCAGATGAAAACAGCGCTGTATATGTAGGAGTGAACTCAATGTGCGTGATTTGTTTAGTCGGCGATAACAAACACTCTATAAAAAGTCTGTGCGTCTACTTTCACGCACAACACTCGGAGAACGAACCAGCGCAACGTAAAGAGGCAGCTCAATGAATGCCGATGCCACAGCATCTGTTTAGACCAAAAAAAACGCAGACTGAGTTGTGACATTAAAAAATGCAAGCGTGACGTTTTGCATTGCTCAATGTCACAACTCAGACTGCGTTTTTTGGTCTAAACATATGTTTCGGCATCGTCATTCGCTGAGCTGCACGTCATTCGCTGAGCTGCTTCCGTAAGTTGCGCTGATTGGATCTCCGAGTGTTGTGCGTGAAAGTAGACGCACAGACGTTTTATAGAGTGAACGCACAAAATGATCAGCGCCGATGGGCGCACTCTTGGAGCTGATTGATTGGATCCATCGGATCATAGCTTCGGCCACACCCGCGTCTGCTTAGGGCCGAGCTCTTGTGATCTCTCGTGACAAAGGGAACACGCTGGAACGCTGGCGTCATCTAAAAGGTGACTCTGGAACTGCATTTCACTAGAGCGGAGGTTTTTGCAGTTTTTGCGAGATCCCATCTATGGGAAATAGCCGTTTGTATCATATTAAAAAAAAAAAAAAAGAAGTAACTTTTCCGAGGAAAAACAAATGAACAATGCTCGAAAAATGAGGGAACACGCGGAAATACCGAGTGTTCAGTAATAAGTACCAAGACCTCTTAGCATGAAAACAAACGCTCCCAAAAAAACGTCGCTAGCGCGTTAAAATAAAAAAAAAACAAAAAAAAAAAAAACATATAGTCGATATAACTTGGATGTGAGGTGGGCGTCAGTGTGTTTTTTCGTCGGGAGATATTTAATAGCTTTAAAGGCACGCGTTCGTAAGCAGCTACAAGTGTGCGAACCAGACTTTAAAAAATGTTAAACATAATATAGAAGTACCGATGTCGTGTTTTGTGATACGCGTGTCGCGTTGCCCACGTATAGTTTGCATTACTCGTCGGGGAAGGTCATCCTCGCGCTATCGTTTAATGACAGGGTGCCGTATATCTGCAGCACGAGGATGATACGGTGTCGTGCGGTTGCACGCTGTCCGTATACTATAGAGCGGTCGCTTATCTTGACGCTCACGCGGACACGTGTGCCATCGTCGGAACGAGTGCCGGGCGCTTCTGTGCGGAGATTTTAACGACGGGCACGGCTCGGATCACCTTCTTCCAAGGAATCCTCTCAAGGAAAACGGCCTTTGACTAGAAGGACGCGCGTCTAACAGCGTGAATGTTTTTGGGATCTGTACACCGGTACCCCAGTTTACGATTACGTATGGTGTAAGGGTGAAGCCAGGGGTGCGTATCTAGAACACATCTATACACCCTTCAGGGTGTAAAACTTCATATTGAGTGTTAGAAAAATTTCAGGCTTCTACTGTAAACTTCTGTCCTATCTTTTTTTCTAACCGTCCTCTGTTTCCCCATTCCTAGCCGGACAGCGCATTGGTTGGGAGACGCACCTCTTCCGGCTATTGAATTTTTCTCCCCTCTAATATACTACAGAACAAAGGAACTGAATTTGCAGCACCTCAGCGTCACCGGTAATCGACGACCTGTCATGGTACGCTTAACGAGTCGTGAGATGGAATCCAACGGCGTCTCGTTTATCAAGTTGCAAGCATTGACCGACGACCCTCACTGGGAGGCCAATCCCGACGTAGCACGTGGTGGGTGGCGCTCTGTTTTGTAACCTGCTTGACCGGGTCAGGTACACGGCGGGAGTTATTTGCTTTTGGATGTCTATGCCTAGTCTTGTCACGGTGCTGACTGCTGAACTGTCCAGTACTGAATGGCAACATTGATGGGAAGATATTTAACAGAAATTTGACACGTAGCTTCTACTCTATACGGCATTCGAGACAGAAAACAAAACCTGGTTTTTCGTTCCGCATAAATAAAGTACGCATCACAGGAAGCTGGAAATTCGTGTGAATGTGACACTAGTGATGGTGATAAAATGCAAAAGTTTGACAACAGGACGCTAATTGAATAAAGCAGTAAAGCTATACTTCGTTTACTTAAGCCGTTAGTGTAGCAGCTTGAGCGAGTTGGTTGCTCACATTTACAAACACTACTGCGCACTAATGAAAAAGTACACTCACCCCGTCCACTGCTCCTAAGGAGTAAGTGTACCTTTGCAGTAGTGCGCTGTAGTGTGTGTTACTTAAGCCGTCATACAAAGAAATGACATTGGACATGACCCGCGGCATTTATTTCAACGAAACGCATTTGCCAGCAAAGAAATAAAACAGGAATAAATGTCTCGCTGTTTTTTTTTGTACTGAAATAAATGTTTAAGGCGGACACAATGCCATTTCCTAGATTGATGGACATTGAACTGAAGTTGACGTCGGCTTATATAGACATTTTGCTTTTCTGCGTCATATTCTGATCCAGGTAACGTCATGTCCTAAATCGTTCACATAATATAAGCACCGCTAGACTCATATTCAGAAAAAAAGTTTCATATTTCTGGAAAGCCTTTTTTTTTTTCCTTCAATACCCATGTTGAAAACTGGGTTCTTTTTCCTCTCTTGAACCCTGTACAACGTACGCTAGGAAAAAAAAAAAAAAAAAAAAACAACAACTCAAGAAAGCATGTATTAATAAGAAAGAAACCAGTTAAAAATGTAATAAAACAAGATATCTGAGGTCCTAAGTCTCCCGTCATGCCGCAAGAATGTCGGCCCGATTTTTGGCCGCCGCGAATGGCTAGCGCCACGCTTGACCTTGCCGCTGGCCAATTGCGACCGTCAGAAAATTTCGCCGGCGTCTTCGCCGAGTGTCCAGCTCGGAGCCCCTGCATTGAACACCCTCTAAAATGTACGTACCAAAGCAGGCACGCGTAAAATCCTTCTAAACCGTAATACTATCGATTGCTATTATTGTAAAAACACCGGTAGGTAAAAAACAAACAAAAAAAAAAAAATGAACGAGGTACCGATATTATTGATTCTGTCATATTAGTTTTTATTTTGTCTTACCACCTGTCCATTATTCGTTGGGGAGTTTAGAATCGTTTGGATTGCAACGCTATGCTTCCTTATTTTATAGACAGCGAGGCAATGAAAAAAACGCTGAAGTTAGCAGGCATTTAGATTTTAACATGTTTGCCTTTTTATTTATTACTTCCATTCGTATTTAACGAAGTATCGACCTTGACCTTTTCATTCCTCTTCTCCGAGACAGCGTGGCCAACCGGGACAATAGACCCTTTACAAAACCTCCTCAAGCAACATTGGCCTTCGCCATTTCTGGAGCACAAAGCGTGGGATTGGATCTGAGTCGTCGCCGAACGCTGATACAGACCTCCTGTCCAATACCTGCTGAGAGTACGTGCCCAATTAATGCCGGACTGGCATAATTGGCACAGCAGCCACTGGGGCCTCTAAACTCGTCAAAGACATAGTGGGGGCCGAAGTTGACGGAGCGCACTGATTGGTCTGTCACGACGATGACTTCGCGCTTTTTTCGCCGACGACCAATCGGCGCGCTCCGCGATCTTCCGGCTCCAACTTTGTGTTTGACGATTTAATGGCCCTAGGTGGCGCGCGATTTCGAAAAAGGTTTTATTACCCCAGGTTAACTTCTCTGTCTCCTTTTTCTGTCCCTCCTACATTCATTACTTCCCTTTTTGGATTGTAAGAGTGTATCAGTGCGAAGTCCACCATACGGAGCCCCATCCTTGTTCTGGCCATTATCAGCAGCGAATCTTCGTTTTCCGGTTGTGGAGGACCACAGGGAAGCGTTTGAACCCACATTTTTCTGGTGTGTGCCATAACGGGACGGCACGTCCTCTTCGCGGTGTATGGGGGATTCCCTTGTCACCCGAAGGCCGGAGGCTCAGGACGCTCCCTTGCCTCGCAGAGGAGCGGCCGGAGGCCATGGGAGAAGCGGCGCAGTGCCCGAGCGCCCAGGGCTTGTCCCAGTTGCTGGCGGTCATCTTCGTCATCGGGGCCGTGGCCGGCATAGGTGTCCTCGCCCTGCCGCACGCCATGAACGAGACCGGTGAGTGGCGAACAGACGGGCTCGGGGCCACTGAGTAGACTTCGGCTGGGCATTCCTGCTTGCAGAGCTGACGCACTTCGAAAAGAGATGTTAAAAACGTAAAAAGTGCCACAGAAAGAAAAAAACAAAAAAAAAAAACAGAGAAAAATAAATTTCCCGATTTTTTAGTATTTATCAAATGCGCTTACAGGCTGTATTCCCTGGCGGCCATAGCTGAGCTCGCTGCTGCTGAGCCCGTACTGACGGCAGGCTTCCACAACGCTTCTAACACGCACGTTGCACACCATCAGGATTCTCTTCTCTGGGAGATCATAAATAATAACTCATCCCGAGCATGCGCTGTGAGCATTCATCTAAAATAAGGCGTTCTGTTAATGCCACCAATAGGTCCTGTATAAGGGTTATTCACACGGGTGATGCTTTTCAGGGAGGGACGTGCGTGCTGTCAGTGATCGGCGGAACCAGCGGAACTCCCTCCACGACTCACGCATTCCCATAAGTTTACACAAACGGCGGTTAACCTAGAGGGACGTCAGTGTTTTCCGACGAATTAAGCGGTCGCACTCTTGACAACAGATCTCGGCGCGCTGACGAGGGTAGAAAAATGAAGGCGCATACATGAAACGGCAATACGCGATTATGGCAGCAGCGTTGATGCAGATGACAAGGAACTGCTTTCTGCTAAAAGAAAGATGCTTCTTACATAAAGTATTGCAACACAAATTTAAAAAAAAGTGGAGTTTAAAATTAGCTTAATGAGGAGCGGCTTGGAGATTATCGAAAACTCCTTCGGGTGCCCCGGATGATATACGCAGCAACGCAAACCACAACAAGTAAGCCGAACCCGACGCCACCGCCGGTATCTCGCCGAGCAACATCTGTAAAGTTGCCAGATACACGAATAAAATGCCGCCCATTGCGAAAAGATTCCGCGTCAAGGCGGTGGAGTGTTTGTGCCAGTGTTGGACAAAATACTCGATAAAAGTATTTATGTTACTAAATACCTGCTTCAGAAAGTATTAAAAAAAAACTACTCAAGTTACTTCCATTGTAACGTATCTTGAGTACAGCACAAATACTTAGAAATGTAATTAAATTACTTTTGAAGATACTTCCGCATTGTGTAATTTTTATCGGCGTCAGTGACAACGACAATTTTACAGCTGTGCAAATGTGGGTTACCAGAATGGTTTATTAGCACGCAACAACACCAAACGGGAAAAAAGTATCGTAGGGCTATTTTACGCAGTGCAACTATAAGGAGCAGGATATTGTCACGAATGATAAATGATGAGTCGGCAAATATCTGAAGAAACAAACATTTAATGGGGCGAACTTGTTCCCAAAACAAAATAAAGAAAGGCTAGCGTCGCAGGCGTCGATGTCGGCGCAACAGCAGGATCGAGCGCTAAGGCGAGACTGACTCCGGACCGCCACTAGGAGCACATTTTGCACCCGCGTGGGTTTCTGGAACATTCGGCGTAGGACATTCAGCGCGTAGAACATTCGGAACGCAATCAGACGACAAGGTTCTGGAACTTACGAAGAGGAGTCCGCTCCCTGGTGTCGAACCCGGAGCCTCCTCGCGAGAGTTAAGCGCGGTAACCATTCGGCCTCGCGCTCGCTCGGCAACGCGCGTGGCAATATCACTGATACATGTTACAAAACATTCCTGGAACAACAAGGAAAAGGTCGCTTTAACTCTTGGGAAGGTGATCAGATCGTGGCGCCCCAAGCGGTTAGCTTTAGAGCTACAGGAATGGAGACAACGAATAACAATCACTCAGCGCTCGGCTGACATAACCGAACGCGGAGTCAGAGTTTGGCTGGAGTTCGCGTTCTCCGGTGAGGGGGAGGGGGGCTTTTTTGTTTCCACTCCAGCCTGCATGAACAATGCAGCATGCATGGTACCCAGCTCAGCACAGAAGCCCAAGTTGGTCAAGCTCACATCCTTTGACGACTGCTTTCGGGAGAGATACGGCACTTGACGTCACTTCGCTAATTGTTAGTATTTTTACATTACACTCTGCCCCCGATCTATTAAAAAAAGATAACATGAACATGCCGACAAGGCCTGTGGGCATGCGCACAGGCCTTGCGTTGGTTAAACACCGAGGTGTGGGACAACAAACGGGTCAGAGCGCCTCGCCAATAGTGACATCACTGAATATCACGTCCTGCGGCGCACCTTAGACGCATCGTTTAACTACAATTCATAATTCCTATACGAGGATTCCAGTATAAACGAACTTGGGATACGAATATGAGTGAATGGATAACAAAGAAACCCACATATTAGGCACGGCAGAGGTTGCACCTTCTTCAAGTAGGCTGCGTTCAGAAAGGCACTCAAAGCTGGGGGACGCTTTGTTTGCATTTTGAGATATCATCCAGCTTGTAGTTCGTTTCCTATCCTGTTCTCTGCTTATCAATGTTCGCTTACAGACAGTGTTCGCGGAAGCAATAAGTGACGGACTTACAAAAAAAATTAAATAAAAACACCAAAGCAAACCTTGGCCTTTTGCTGTAGCGGGGTCTAATACACAAAAATCAAAACAAAAATGTATTTTTTAGTGAGTGTCCACGTCTAATTTTTTTCTATTTGTTATTTTCTGGACACTTAAATCTACATTGTTGTCATACGTCGTTACTCGGTCTGCGTTGCGCCTCAGTTTGGCAATCTTTGCTTCCATAAAACCACCCCTTTTGTTTGAGAATTTTTTGGGGGGAAGCTTTAGGAAACAAAAGGCGCCTTTGGGAAGGCGAGGGGAAAACCTTTACTATACGAACTTTGGGCTGAAATATGAGTCACAAGCGTCAAGAAAACCATCGTTTCACGAGCTTAATTAAAGTCACCTTAGCTAATCGGAGCTAGAAACAGGATTTGGTTGCTCGAAAGAATGCTCACGTTTGGTCGTGCCACGGGCACGTCACTTCGTACCGGAAAACTCGAAAAATGGCGGAAATTAAAAAAATGTTTTTGTGATAATGAGTACAGGATACTCAGAAATTTTATTAAAGTAGAGTATCAAATACTCTCGCTCAAAGATATTTGCAGGATACCAAGATACTTAAAAAGTATTTAAAATACAGTATCCTGAATAGAGTATTTGAGATAGGCACAAGTCTGGTTGTGCAGCCCGGGAGAAGACACGCCCCTCTCCCTGGGATGTCTACGTCAGCGCGGCTCCGCTCAAAACCATGACGTTGTTACCATGTGTTGCGCATCGTGGAAAGCAAAGGGAGAGATTTTGCCCCCGTCATGGTGTCGCATTATGTCACATCACTGACGTTACAGAGTGACGCGTCGGCATGGCGTCACGGTCACGTGATGTCATTGCGTCGCATGACGGAAAGCGTCACGCGGCCAAAGGAAAACACGTGGTCACGTCAACTAAGGTCACGGGACAACGTAGCATGACGTCACAATCTCATATGACGTTAGTGTGTCACAGTACTACATGATGTCACGTGACAGTCAGGTCAGGTCATGACACGAAGTAAGCGCGACTGCGCCGTCGGCCACTTTCGAGGCTACACCTCAGGCATGGACACGAAAGCACTAAGAAGTAGCCCTAAAAAGGCTCTATACATTTAAACCAGAGAAGGCTACTGCCCTTCCGGCAACTACATTTGTCTTATGAAAGTAATACCTATTTCGGAGACGTCTCATTCGTTGTCCAAACAGGAGATTTCAGAACACGTGAAGGCACACAACTTTTTCCATGTCTTTTTTCTTTGCCGGGGGGGGGGGGGGGGGGTGTTCTTTTCTTCAACGTCCGCTTCTGTCCTCCACGGAGGCCTAGAGCATACTCGTCACTTGGGTTCGGACAGCTACTTCCACGCTATGTTCGCTGTCAGTCAATTGTTCAAGGCCTCCGCTACTCTTCATATCCCGAAAACGGGAAACAAAATGATAACCGAGGGCGCGGCAGAACATATGGACAGGCAACAGGCACACCACTGGCGGGTCACGCTCAGCTCGGCTGAAGAAAAGGTTCTATAAACATGCAGGGAGGTAGAAAGAGAATTGAGGAGTTTCAGCGATTATAGGGGGCGCTCCGATCGATCCAACATGGCGGAAAAGAGGGGGATAGATTTGCGACGCCCGTAGACCAGTAGCGTATAAATGAAACAAACCATATCGTTCTCTGTTTGTTGCCGTGTGCGAGATGATCATCGCTTCAAGCAAGACCTACCGCGATGCTACAAATGAAGTGTTCAAGCCAGTCGAAGGCAAGAAATCTTGCCACAGCCAAGATATGTGTGCAAGCGTTCGACGTGAGCTTTCACGCTGGTGCACCTGTCATCAAGTTGAACCGAGTGTACGCGGGTCCAAAGAAAGGTACATATCAACAATGTTCGCGCGTTGAAACTATGACGTGTACTTTATCTAAACCTTAACTTATCGGTTTGTGGCTACAGACATTTTCGTTGACGTTGCATAGATGATGTAATCATTCAGGCGTCGTATTAAACGGTGTTGAGAACTTTCGGTTGTTCTTGTTAATTGTGCTAAAAAGCGGTTGGATGGAAAGTATGACAGCTACAGCATACAATGGACGATCAAGGTCTTTATCCTGCGTTTTATGTATCGAAACATCGGTATCCTTGGTGTTATATTGCGATGTCGCGTATCGTCCTGTTTTTACGCGTAATGTAAACAAGCCCCGGAAGTGCCAATCTCATTTTGATGTGCTTGTGCACTCCTACAAGCCTTCTTTTGGCTCTCGCGGGCAGCTTTATTGTAATGGCAATAGTCTCATCGGTCGTTCGAGTTGTATGTGCCACTGTGAGATCCGGTGTGTGAGGTCTGCTGACAAAAAAAGTCTGTATTAAATGCCAGAAGGAGAACAAAGTTAGTTTTCTAACTTTTTTCATTTTACAAAACAGGCCAAAGCTTTTAAAACAAGAGCAACCTAAGCTGATATTTGATTGAGCTCAAGAATGAATGGCAGAAGGCGCTTATGCTAGGTGGTAGATGTACACAGTTGATTTAC